TGCACCGACTTTAAAAAATCTTTCACCTTCGGACAGTTAAACAGCTAGTAGGTAGGTACTTTAGAAAATACTCTTTTGTGTGCAACAATTTGATTCTTTCTTCCATAATATTTGAAATAAAATATGAAATAAAACAAGTTAATTATTTTAATGTTATGCATACTTAAATAAAATAACAATTAAAATTTCTTCATAAATAAAATCGATTACTAAAATAAATCGAATTGGTAATGCACTAGTACATCACTATTTGATCAGTACTCGAATTGTCAAAAAGATATTAATTGGTTGGAAATTCTATAGTAGGCACTGTATAAAATGCTCTTTGTTGCACACAATTCATTTTTTCTTCCGTAATATCTGAAATTATTTTTCTATAGATTGTTCTGCGGGGTACTTTCTACGTAATCTGTCAAAGTATAGTACCGAAATGTAGATAAAAAAAGAGTCGTTCTATGTAGGTATATATAGTAAAGTCTCCGCTCTACGAACCATTTGGAACGTTTCCAGGGACCACCGGTTAGGAAACACCGCTTGACATGGATTATGCATAGCTGGTAGGTACTTATGATCCCAAAAGTATTTCGGTTATTAGTCTAATAGCAATGTTCTTCTGTTTAAAACAGTATCATTTTATTAGTTAATCTATAAATGCAATTTAACATTTTAATAGCCTTAGTAAAATATTGTTATGTAGGTTTCTATGACATTTATGAATATGCTGTGATAAGTCTAGATTATTCAGATATCTATGTGTATATCTATATTAACTTTTCTGACTTGGATTATGAGTAATATACGGTTTAATATTTCATACAAATATAAATCAGGTGTGAAATAAAAGTCATACATTCACTGTTTATCACTTTTTTATAGTTTATTTTCACAACATTTTTATTTAATTTTCTGTAAAATTTACAATAGCTTAAAACTCTTCACAAATATATAGTAATCATTATGTACCGCAACAACGCCATGACAACGTGTCACGCGAAACAGGCAACTCGGAAGAGGAAATAAGAGCTAATTTAATAAACCTAACTGTAACCTTATCTAAGGGTCGGTATTAAAAATCAAGATTTCTTTACACGCATGATTCTAAGAACGAACCATAAAAATCCCATATTCAATTCTGGGGAAAATTCGTTTGCAAATCGAAGACTTATTTCTTGATGTAATCAATTTTGAAGTCACAATTTGAAGGAATCGTGGTTTTTAATATAGACCCTTGTTGACGTAAGGCGTATGAACTAGCAACCCCTAAACTAGAGAGTCGGTTTGTCGACTGCGCGCGTGAAACATATGAGCGGGACAGCCGGCAAGGTGGGTTTCATAGTTGACGCTGGAATAACAGCATTCACAACCATATGTCCAATCAAATAATCCTCGGCACAAATTATATAATAATGTTATCGTGGCCAATGAAAATAAATGTTGTCAAAAGATTTCAATTGATACAGATATTTTGTTTTTAAAAATAAGTAAAGATAAGTAAGGTAAGAGGTAAAAAGGAACTTTTTGATTTACGTTCGTGTGTTATAAAGTTAAAATGTAGGAAAATTTAAAAATAGAACGCTGTTTTAGGCCTCATTGGATTCATATTGCACAATCCATGCAACGTATTTTTAAACCTTATAACGTTGTTACAAATTTTACAAAATTATTTATATAGTTTGCATCGTTATTCCTTATATCATTAATGACACTATAGTTTCAGAGCTTAGGACAAAGTATTTTAATACATTAAAACAAATATACTCTCTTTTAAGACAGTATCTGTTAACTTCTGGCAAAATGCTGTTTCACCCAAGCCTCAACATTTTGAAACCACGCTTATTTTAACGGCGCTTGCGCACATCGCCTCACATAAATATAATAAATCACTACACAAACTAAATACTATTCTGACTTTAACTTCCACTTCGGAAATATACATATAATAAAACATTACATAAACCCCGTTCAAAATACTAACTGGCAAGACAAATTCAACATGTCCACCTTAGATTTCATTAACAGTTTCCAATGAATAAACCTTCGTTATCTACACAAATAAATAAGTAAATGCCTCGGTGTTAATAACTTTAACAAATATCATACAAATTTCAGTTGCACAACACATTCCGTTGACATTTCTGTGTTATCGCGTCATCAACATTGTAATCAACATAAATATGTATAAAAATATATTTGCTGCGTGTTGGTTCTGTTATATACATACACGATACATACAATTATCTGTATTAAGTCCTTAGACATTCAGAGAACAAACTACGAAATTCATTAACAATTTAGTTTTGTAACCGAAAACAACAATAAATTTAAAAAAATATACTTAAGCAAGGAAAATGAACGCCATGAAACATTCTTATTTCAAATAATGTATGTTACATTGATAAATACTTACACAGTCAGAAACCAACTTTCTCTATACTGAGGAACATCATCTTCTTACTGTACAAATTGCAATTTTCCGACAATGATATCAAACATTTTAGCAACAATTTTCGTTGAGAAGTTTCTCCTCAGTCTATTTGAAACACGCATCACATAAGTACAATATATACATGCTTATAACCAATCAAAGCACGCAAGCGCCCCCTACCAGTGTTCAATATAATAAAATTAAACATTACAAAATAAGGCTAGCAGAAAACTGATGGTAACTTTAGAAAAAAAAAAACACTAAACTATACAATATATTGCAATGTCTCTCATAAATTGATTCGCAAAAACGATTTAAGTTTGAAAATATTTTAACAAAATTTTTCACAGATTATTTTGATTTGATAAGCGTTTCGTCGATCCAGCATACACGTACCGTCTCAAATAAAAAATATTTTATGAAACTAAATAATTTGCAAATATTGTTGAATATAACACTTTTTTACTGAATTGTATGTTGTTGTTTGTTTTACTGTAAAATGTTATTTGGAAAGTCTTGTCAGTGCTTTTTAAAACGTGCCGTATGTTAAAAGAGTTTGTATATTTTAAAAACGTATCTTTTAATGACAGTCCCTTACGAGAGTGGCGCTATAATATATTTTTTTAATTAAGACTGTTACGTATACTGGATGAACATAAAAGACGACGTCCCATAATCCTTTCAGTTTCCTTGGCAAATCATAATACGCTTTTTTTAATAAATTAAAAATGCTTGCTTACATCGAATTAACAAATTACATACGGAAACCTCGCATTGACATTTCTTATTCGATTATAACAAAATACGAATTCAATTCCACAAGCATTCTCATTTCATATTTAATTTGTCGCAAGTCCAAGCCATGACAGCGTATTGTGCAATTGCCGAGAAAATTACCAATGTTTAAAACCGAATACTTAATTCACGCCAGGAGGTAGTTCTGCCAATAGCTGTACTACGACATAGTTAACAATCACAGTTACAATAATTATGATAATAATAATAAAGATTACAATAAAATACCTGTCAAAAAGACTACAAATCACAACTTAGACGTCCGTCCGATACAGCGATATAACACTAGTGATAATAACTTACATTCACTCCTATAACAATGGAATATAATTTTAGATTCATTTAAGTATATTATGTACTTCAATTACCTCTAAGTACATACAACTGTGTTAGGACTAATAAAGTTTAAAACGATTGAACGAAGGACTGCGTTTCGTTTCACCCATGTCCGTTTTTACTTTCAATGGAAACGTCTAACTAAAGAAAAAGACAAATAAAGTAAAGTTTTCTGATTTTATTTAAATCATATTCCTTTAATTAAATTTTCAAATTTTAACTCTTTTAGGGGTGCAAAATTTCTATTACTATTTGGTCAGATGGTCTGGGCGTGCAATATTCAAATCGACATTCGACAAATTATGGAGTGTTTCGTCGTCTGTCCTGCTCTTATTTACGTATTTTTAAGCAGTAGAGTGAAACATTTATGATGAATTCGCAAAGCATTGGATATTGGTCTTAAGTGTACGACCCCTTGATTGTGTGTTAAAACGCCGTACTATTGAAAAGAGCTATCAATAACTAAACGAAGAATTTGTATTTGGCGTAGAATGATCATGGGTAAAACGAAGCAGATTGATCTTTTACAAAAGCCTGCCAACTGACGAGAGTACTTCAATAAAAATGAGATCGCAAATTTTGGTTCGATAGTGAGCAAGTTAGAAATTCGTTTATCAGGTCGTTAAGTCGTTCCGAAGTATAACTATATAAGATTAATCTAGAAGCGAATTGTACTTTTACTTCGGGTGTTTATATTTATCTACTAGAAAAAAGACTAAACGCTTACTTTAAGCCGTATAAGAGATTTTGTATAAATATACACCATTTACTATTTCATTAATAGCTATGTTTCCAATAATATTACCTACACCATGAAATATTTCTGTAATTCTCAAGACTACATAATGAAAAATATTATCTATAGAAAATAGAACGAACAAAAACTGTAAGTTTTATAGTATCTGATAACATTCTTTTTTGTATTGAAAATGTATTACATCATGGTTTATATTAATCGAAGAAATATCGCCATTAATAAAAAGTAAGTATTCTATATATTGAATATGCATCGGCATTATCTTAAAAAACATGTACATTTTGGCCGGACACAGTTTACATAATCGCATCGTTTATATAATCTATATTTATTAAAATACAACAATAATAGTATGTCTCTCTATTGGATTTATTCTACATAATAATGTAAGTAGGTATATAATATTCATCGACAACAGATTAATTCTACAAAAATTAAATCACATTTTTCATATCATCTACTGTTTTATCATAATCTGTAATTGAATGAATAGTCAATAAAAACGTGTTCATAAGTACTCTGTATGTAACTAACATGCCTTCGCTACTTGTAAATGTTCTTAAAATATTTATATAACGTTTTTATTATTCAAACACATTATTATAAAACGAGTGAACTTTAATATTGTACACACCTTAGTGCTAGTTTTTTTTTTTGGGTTTTGTCTTTTTTTCCGTTTTATATTTTAACTTAATTTGTTACTTCGTATGCCAAGCCGTATACAATACTAGAGCGATCCCGAAAGGAGAAGTGTATACATACATTTAAGATTTAATAAACACGTAGTAAAATAGTATTTTTTTAATTACATCCCCGATATGAACCGGGCGTTCTGATCGGCTGGCTACTAACTCCCAGCTTCGTGCTTGTATCGCGACTGCCGGTTGCACGTTAATTTAAAATAGAACGGAACTTCTCGCGTTAAAAGGCCATCGGGCAAGGTCGGACTCGTTTCTTTTAAACGTCGCTACCAAATCATAATTCTGCGATCGGATTCGGCGGACCGGACCGCCGCCGTGCGCCGGCCGCCGGTTAATATTTTGACATCTGGCGACTGAACCGTCAGTTTCTTAAGATATCGATCGCGAGAGACATGCTTTTACTTTTATGGAGACATATATCATTTACTCATAATAATAAAAAGCTTAAAATTAACAAACTAGTCTTTTTTATAGGCAAACCATCGACTCGGTTTAACTCCCTACAACAACGCGTGTTTACCGTGAAAGATAATTTTCGTACTGCTAACATATTAAGTTGTCAACACGAAAGGAGTACGACTAGAAATTACTTCACTCGTCGCGGCGTCAGCGGCTGCGCATACCGGGCCGAGTCGGGGCGCCTCCCCGCGGCAATTGACGTGCGGAATTGATCGGAGTAGACTGAGCAAGACAAATTGACAGAGAGCAGACCGTCCGGGGTGACGACGATACTCGGCCGATCGCACGTTCCGATCGGCGAGGCTCGCATTCGGTCAGTTGCGACACATGATGGTTGCCAAATTTCCAACTTTTTCAGATTTCGAACCCCCCGAGCAGCCGCGCAGACCGCATTTACATAAATCTCTCTATCTGTATTATATACATTTGGCACTATATTCATCGATCGATTGGTGGCCTAGCGGGGTCACGCGGGGCAGAGGGCCGGGCGATAGCAGTCGGCGCAGGCTGGGCAGGCCGCGCACGCTGGGCACGCCGGGCACGTGGCACACGCGGCGCACGGCGCACACGCCGCACACACCCCAACCACATACCCTGGAACCAGCAGGGCAGCACGTGCGCACAGTTCGCGGCACGCCAGGGCCTCGATTAATGCGAGAGTTTGTCGTCGTTCGTGTCCCATCAGGCATACTGTTGACTCGCGCACGACCCCGTGGAGAAGCGTCAGGTACCTGTAGAGCAAAAGGTTTTTAGAGATCAGAGACAGATCCCCGTCAGTATCGAGATCAAAGATTTGGCGCATTTAGTGACGAATATTTTATGATTGATTTTATTGTATTTCTAGTAGGTAGTATTTTTTATAAAAAGCTTTTAATAATCGTTTTCTGTATTTTTGAGTGAAACAAAACTTTAGACTTTGATAAACCTTAAAATATAATTTTATTAATTACCTGTGTTTTAGCGCTTCCTCGTCCCGACCGACGAAGTGATTCCTTAGGTAGGCCTCGAGCTTGGCACGCTGTTGGCCGAGCTCTGGGAAATCGATGAAGAACCTCGAGCACATGTAGCGCTCGAGCGTTTTGATTTTGTCTGGACGGGCTGGTCGATAACCCTTGGCGAGCAGAGCGCAGTACTTCAACAGCCCACCTCCACGTATCTCTTCCGGTTGCCGCGTCGCAATTAGTTTTTCAGATAAATGTAGTAATGCCTCCCCGAAATCACCATACACAGATTCCCCCACAACAGTCGGGTAGAAATTTTCTCCAATGGGAAGCTGAGCGCATTCGTGGAATGCCAGTAGTGAATCGAGAGCGATTTGGAATGAGTCGACGGAAAACTCGAACTGGCGCCGCATCGTGTCCACGAATTTGAGTTCGACGGATTTGTGACCGCGGGAGTTGCCGAGTGAGATGAGGGACCAGCGGTCGCCGTCGGAGTTGACGCGGACCATTTTGGAGACGTATGCTTCTTTGATGCCGGCGGGCGTGGCGCGGCGGCGAGGAGTAGCGGGAGGGAGGAGGGTGGCTAGGTGACCTAATACTGCAGCTTTGACGCGGTCGCAGTGACGCGCAGTGGGAAGTTCAGCGGTGAAAATGAGGTCGATGTCGGAGTAGGGCTGCGCGCGATCTGCGAGAACGTGACTGGCGGCACCGCCGTTGAGTCTGACGTCTCGGACGGCAACGCCTGCGCCGCCGGAGCTAGGTGGGGCAGCGAGACGTGCACGCACACCGGCGACTAATTCGCGAAGACGGATATGCAGCGTAGGGAAGTTGCCGCGTCCGTGTATGGCCACCACTTCGTCCATGACATCGTTAAGCCGTCGAACTTGTTCGTAGCTTAGCACTGCATGCCTCTCGCCACCACCGCAACCCTCTTCAGACGACGTGTATGATGATTCGCTCTGGAATAAAAAATAATATATTTAATTCAAGAGTGTCCATTATTTTCTTTATGGTAAATATATAGGGCCTAGGCAATCAACTTTTTTTTTACTCAGCTATGTGTCATTTATATGCAAAAATGATACAGTTATAGAACATACGACGTAATTCTGGATATTGATCCTTAATATTCTCCTTCAAAACTATTACAAGTAATCTCCGATTAGAAACAATATTTTCGTATACAATAGCTGTGGGCGGCGTCTAATTTTATGAGGTTGTGTAACCGGAAAAATTGTAGAAGTTCACCCGACTCACTGGATCCCCAATGGGACATTACGGTATTGAGCTCAAACAATAGATAATGAACGTACTGTGGCCTCAGCAAATCTCAAAAACTATTCAGTCATTGTGCTTTACAAATAACATATTAGTTACGCTTCATGAAATGAATGGGTATCTCATCATGTAGCTAATGTATTAGTTGTGAAGTTTTTCCTCGTTAATACTTTATGTTATAATAATTCTTTATAATGTATGTAAAATTGTGGCATGTTTAAATATGTAAATGAATATTTATACCATATTAAAACTATTTATTTAATGTTAATACAAATATCGTGAAAATTTGTTTTATGGATATCATAAACGAATGAACAGTTTAAATACCTGACGTGCTGTCGACTGAATTTAAACTTATGGCTAGGTGACAATATTATTATATTATTGTATTCTACATTAATCCGAAATAATTAATCGCAACCGAAATCGATCCCTAAATTTCACAGAGTAACAAGTTACTACTGATGCTATATTCTGAATGTAGCGCATGTTAATATCACCGTCGTAGAGTGCGTGTAACGTTAATTAATGAATATTATTCTATATCATTAAGTTACCCTTGGCACTTTAAAATTTTAGCAACTCTTTCAGAGGTAAAAAGGACATTTTTTATATAAAGCACTTCAATTTTATATTGGATTATTTGAATTTGGTATGTCAAGGCCCAATCAGTTTGCACGTTATGCGTCAAACAGCACTTAGATGTTTGATTAGCCGGTCACTTCATGGCTAAGTGTATGGAACACTTGACCCGGCTACGAGGTCACCGCGAATTATTTTGACCAAGAGACTAGCGAGTGAACATAAAAAAATGTTACCACATGTGGGGTTTGAACACATGACCTCATTTAGGGCTCGCCCACGCTATAGCACATTATCGTAACGTGATTGCAGGCGCATAACCTCACATAAAGAAATAAATAAGTGCTGTTTTCTTTTAAAGTTAGAGACCATTGAATATCAGATTTATAATTAGGAGGAAGTTCAATATATAGGTAATAAGTTCAATATAATAAACAATAAAGGGAAGGAAATAAATATAATAAGCAATAAAGGAAAGGAAATAAATAAAATAAACATGCTTCATATAAAGAAGTCAGATCTTAAAGTTCAAGCTCTCAGCTATCTAAGATTACTCAGAAAAATAACTTCAATCTTACGAAATTATTATCTGACATAAATGAAAGAGAATTAATATAGAATATGGTTGTATTCATCAGATCTTCATATTTTTTGATCAGATTACAATTAAGAATAATGAATCAGTATTAGATTATTAATGTCAACATTATTTTGTGTCATATTAAATCAAGTCACCAGAGGCTTATCACGGTATTAAGTTCACATGAAGTTAAATTTTAAAGTTTTATAATAATAATATTGACAACGTCACATTCCTCAGATTGATGAAATTCATTTTCAACATTCATCCGACTGGGACTCAACTGGCCATTTCAGATTTGGCGACATCGCTACATACCTCACATTTTCCTCCTCGTATTCACTTACTGTTTAATTTAAGTACTCTCTTTTCATCTGTTCAAATGAGCACTATTATTTCTCAAAGTAAAACATACACAAACCCATTACATTACTGAAACTTTTATGTATCCAATGACCTTCCTCTTTCTATTTTGCAAAATTTAAAGCAATTGCAGTCCTACGTATTTAATAAATTGTGATATTACTAAGCACTTACCCAGAAGGGACGAAATAGAAGATAAGACGCGATTTCAAGTTCAATGCTGCTAACGTTTTAGCTATTTGTATAACTAATTCTTACCAACGATCAATGAATAGCGAAATGCTTAACCTTTCTATTTCTAGATAGGCTCTTCGACACACCAAAATATCACCATAAAATGTAGTGAAACTAAATTAACAATTAAATATGACATTCATTACATTTACCTTGATTTACTTATGATAAAAGGAAAACACAAAACTGTTCTTTTACCACGTTTACCTACTATCAGTACTATTACGACTTACAAAATATACGTGACTTAAATCACGACAACTAGTCACAAATTTATTCCTACTACTATCGCAAGTTACTTCTACCAACACACGTACAGACTGACCCTAATATCGAATCAACGAGATAACTATTAATATAAAATAGTATCAATACAAACGGATTTCGACATGATTATGACGCAATAGGAAGCTAATGCAACAGGACACTGGAATAATTTAATTAGCAATAACGAGAACCGGATCTTTGATAGCAAGGTTTATTGCTACTACATATCCTATCCTATTAATATTATAAAGGCGAAAGTTTGTAAGTATGGATGTATGGATGTTTGTTACTCTTTCACGAAAAAACTACTGGACGGATTTGGATAAAACTTTACAGCAATATAGGTTATACATCAGAATAACACATAGGGTACTTTTTACTGGGAAAACTTCTCACTCCCACGGGATACCGACTTCCACGCGGACGAAGTCGCGGGCGTCCACTAGTTCGTACATAAATTAAGATACAATACATCTTTGTACAAATTCAAACAAGATTTACCCAATTCCAAATAGGTATTTTAATTTGTTTCGCATTATATCTAAAGCGTACTTATTTTACAAATTTGTAGTGTTTTTTTACTTATTACAATAGCTAAATATTAACAAGTAAATATTTATAATGTTATAGAAAGAACATTAACTTGCAAAAATTTGTCCATAATTTTGATTTCAAGTATTTTAATTATCTTTGTTCAAGTATTTTAATTATCTTTATTTCCATTCAAAATAATCCAGTAGTATAGTAATATAACGAAAATTAAGAAGTAATTTTATTCTCCCACAATTTGCGATTTAATTGTATTTTCCATTTTTTTTGTCGTCATTTTTAAACCACAGCGCAAGTCATTTGTTTTCAATAAAAAGTATACGATTTTTTAAATTATAATACATACGAGTATTGAAAGGTTTGATATTTTAAAACGTTCTTTTGGAATATTTCAGAATGTGGAAACTTGTAATTGGCTCTTGCCTTGGCCATACATTACGTGACTGTAAGTTTTGTTAAAATAATAAAAAAATCATTCCAATTTTCCGCATTTGTACGAGTTAATCGGTCCGATGTGCGTGAAATGATGACAACAAAGAGTCCTACGTATGTATGTCTTAGCCGATTTAGATTTTAGTTATTTTATAATATAAATATCTTTATTATATAATTTTTTACATAAATGAGTTAAATACACCACTCGACAGACAACTTTAAGCTGCATCTACTGGTAAATCCGTTCTAACAACATCTACTGATTGATGCCTCAAGAAGTTCTATTTACACCCATTTTCACTAATTTAATTTTAATTTCAAATAAATATTTTTGACTTTTATCCCTTGATATATTTATGACCTGCGTGTGATATACGTAAATGCCGCATAACGAATATCATAACTTTAGACATTGGTTCATTTAGTTAGATGGTTAGTCAATGGGGAAATGCATTTTACACCTTAGGCGATTCCTAAATATTAAGACGACAGTTTTAGGCGACTCCTAAGTTTAGTGAAAACAGGCATTAGTCCGTTAGATACATATTGTCGTGCTTCAATTGAACAAGAAAAGCATACTTAAAAAATGTACAAAGGCGTGTGGTCATGCGACATTTAAACTCAAAGTTATAAAAAATGCGTGTTTAATATTCTTCAATAATATACCCGACGGACAAACAAAAATCAGTCATCATCTCTATTGACAGGTTTTACCAGGGCGCCATATTCTGAGAGTCAATTTTGTTGTCATGACGCCCATTATCGTTATATGATATACGGTGCTACGTGTCACTCGGTAATAAATAACTTTAACGCTGTGAAAGCAACGATAACATAAACAAATACTATTAAAAGAAATTCACGTTAACGATTTTAATAATATTCCTTATCAGCAGCGTTGAATTGTTTCATATTTAAATGGGAAATGTAATATTTATATTTTTTTTATTAAATACTTTTTGTTCCTAAATAGAAAAAGGTGTTTTTATATTATATCAGAAGGACATATACTGTAATATTATGCTTTATCTTATATATGTTAGGAGAAATATTTCACGGTCATACAAAATATTGGACTGGGTCTCGGGATTTTTCTTAACACTGATGTGTCATGTTGATAATTGGTCTTACATCTGAACAACACTGTATCTAATCGTAATGAGTCATGTTAAAAGTTATTGAGAGCTCCTTTTTATTAACTCAAAAGAAATAAAATTAATTAAAAAAAAAAAACAACGATTGTATTAAAGTTTGCCGTAACGTTCTTCTAGCTGATATCTTTAAGAAAAGACTAAAATAGTAGGATTTTGGTTTTAAATACTTTAAGCCTTAATGTTTGTACATTTAATATAGCTCACGGAAACTCGGTGTATAATTTTTATATACTAATTTATAAAGTTTAATTATATAATTTTATAGTGATATGATTACTTTACCTAATACATATATAACTTTCTAAATCTTTAATGAAATACAAAATCCAGGTACATAAATTTAAATTATCATGACATATACAATAGATAGTTTTGATGTACAATATTCATAACAATAGATTACATAAATTAATTACAATTTATGTCATCAAAATAACTGACGATCGAAAACCTTGGAACATTGATAATTCGGAGAGAAATAAAAAAAAAAAACACTGTCATTGTCATGGCACCG